ACTCTCAGCAACTCCAGTACTCTACTGGAATGAGAAGCATAAAGGGAGTTGATAGGAGATTTTCTCCTGTCAACCCCCCACAGTGGAGACATTGCAACAACTCCATCTAAGTTACGTTGACTCCAGAGCTACACTATTCAAGTAGCTGGGGTTGCATACCTTCCATTGACATTAGCCTCTAGTATATACCCGATCTATGACTTCCCAATTATGCAGCATCCAGCAGACCAGGACATTTATAAACATACTGAAAGGCATGCTTAGTATTTCCGTGTTAGCTGAGACCAACTTGTTCAGAGAGACTCTAGAATAACTACTGGCCCCTCTTACTGTGTCCAGCAAAGATTCCCCCTCCCCCCCGATTTTTACTGTGCAGAAACAATCTACTTCTGCATTAAATCTCTGAAAACAAGGAAAAGATCATGTCTAGAGCTTTTCAGCCTTTTTGGGCTGTCCATCATTACAATGTAGTTCTAGCCAATTGAAATTGTAGTGTGGAATTCCAATCAATCCTTTAGCTGCCACAGTCAGTCTTCCTGGATTCAATTTAGCGGGTCTAGTGAAGACCCACTAATTCAAACTGAGAGGGTGCCCCATTGGCACCATTAGTCCAGCTTCTTACAAGGAGTAAGGAAAGTCAACCTCCCACTGTGTAGATGGTGAAAAAACACAATTTAAGATATGTAATTAATGAAGCTGGAGTTGTGTGTCTTAAGTTGACCTTCCCCTTTAGAGTAGACCTGGCCATACTTACTATCAATAGTTTTTAACATCAGAGTGGATCAGTTTACAATTTGGTATTTATCTACTGCTTTACACCTTTAAAGCACTTTACAAACATAGCCTTACACAGCTGGAATGTTTCTGAAAAGGGGTGAATTGTAACTTGCCAAATGTTGTGTAGCAAGTGGCAGAGCTATGATTAGAGAATTGGCTTCCTTGCTCAGTTAGGGTACTGCTGTCAGGGCCGGCCCTAGACCATATGGTGCTCAGGCAAGATGTGTCTTCAGCATCCTGCCCTATTTGTTAAATGTTTGAATAACTTACTTTTATTACATTTGTAACCCACTTCATGATGTTGATGTACGATTCGCATGAATGATTTATCCCTGTCATAGATGATAAATTTGCATGCTAGCATCGGTGAATCTGGATTTTCCACGAAAGTCTACAAAGGTCCAGAATATTCTAGGAGATTAATGAAAAATGAATCCAAATACAAAATAGAGGAGACACACCAAACATTTCCCTTTTGTCACTAACAGCAAAAATAGTACTCCAAATCGGGTGCCCCTAAAACCAGTCCTGATTGCTGTTCGCATGCAGCCCTGCAGAGCCATAACTGTTAGGGAAGTACAAAGCACAATCTGGAACAGCTTTGGCAGCATGACTTACGCACATCCTTTATACTGGTGGAGTGGATGTAGGAAGTGAAAAGAACAAAGCTCAACTGTCCTAGACAGCTGATCTAGACAGTTGATCTAGACAGTTGATTGTAAGACAATTTTCTCCTTCTGATCCTTACCTTGTTTCTATTCCAATCAGTTTGAATTTGCCATTAATCCCAATGGGGTATAGGAATGGACTTTTTGGTCTCATCTCCAGCCAGATGAAATCCGAGTTCACTTATCACTAACAAATATACTTCAAAAACTTGAGCACCCCCATCCTGTATTTGACCTATGCCGATTTCTTGGCAGAATCAAACCTTCAGTTGGGCCATTTTGGCTGAGAAATGAGACAAAATGAGAAATGAGCTTGCTCTCCTACTGCTCCAGTGGTTGTGGTATACTCACCTTGCCACACCTATGTAAGGCGTGCTGAATTGTACTTACAAAAGCAGCTGATCCCTAAAGGGGCTGTTCTCACAGTAAGCCAACAGCAGCATTTGAATAGGTCCCATGGAAGAGAATATTGGATTTTCAAATTTGGATTGGAGGAAAAAGAAACATTTAATTGTAGGCCCATTTGTTGTAGCTGATTCTAAAAAAAAAAAAGAGAACACGCACCCTGAAAACCCTCCACACTCCAACCCCCTGCCCCCTCCTGCACCCAAAATCCCTCCCTGGGCCCCCCCCTCCCATGTCCCACCCGAGAGTCCTTCCTACACCACACCCTGAACCTCCTCTCATGCCCCATCCCAAGCTCCCTCCTGCACCCAAACTCCCTCTCAGAGCCCACACCATGAACTCCAGACCCCTCTGCTCTGAGCCCCCTCCTGTACTCCAAACTTGTCATCCCTATCCCAGAGCCTTTACCTTTTCTCACACCCCTGCCTCAGCCCTGGGAAAATGAGTGAACAATAGAGGGAGAAGGGATGGAGTAAGCAGGGCCAGAGCCTCAGAGAAGGGGTGGCGCAGGAACAGGATCTTGGGGGAAGGGAGTAGGGCAAGGGGATTCAGTTTTGTGCAATTATGAAGTAGGCAACCCTAACTTGGCTGAAACAACACTATAGTCAAAATATTACAAAAGCTCGCCATAGATCCGATCTACTGCCAGTTATAGGCTGGAAAAAATCAGATTCTAGTTTCCAAAAGGTTTAGTGCAATACAGAAAGTGCACAATTCCAAAATCGGTCTGTGCACGTGTATCTACAGTACACAATCGCAATGATGCACTGCCATCTTTTGCTTATGCAGTGCAATAGCAAATTCTACTGACAGTAACAGGACTTACCAGGCCCAGTCTCAGCCTCTGTAACTGTGGTTAATGATTGGCACTGTAGCATTTCATCTGACCACCAAACTTCTAGGCAGACAAGCTGTAAAATATATGCCAACTCATCCCCATTTTTATTCAATTTTATGATACAATAGCCCAAGTTCCTACTTAGATTCTGAATTTTGTTCTGATCACTTATTAACTGAGCTGAGTAAACCAAAGTTAGGTTTCATTTCTCTTGTAAAAATAAAATCTGTTTTAGATGTTGCACCAGAAAATAAAATTGAAACTTCATCACCATGGTAAATTCATAGATTCCGAGACCAGAAGGACCATTTTGATGATCTAGTCTGACCTCTTGTATACTACAAGCTGTAGAACTTCCCCCAAATCATTCCTAGAGTGCATCTTTTAGAGAAATTACCCCCTGCGTGACTACAGCATCCAAAATCTTTCAGCCTGGGCCCCCCTAGGCTCCAGTGTGTGAGGGGAATGTCTTTCTCCCTCTCAAGCAGGGGCCACATAAGCAAGGGTTTTGTTGGGTTCCTTCCCCCCCCACCACCACTTGTGTGCAGCCCCTGACTAGTTTTCCTGTGGATCAACAGCCAACCCAAAAAGGTTCCCCACCCCTGCCCTATAAGTACAGCCTATATTTTTTGTTCCTAGGTGTATGTGTTTAACTTTAGTTGTATGAAAACCATTTTGTTTGCTTTCTCCTAATTTACCTCCATTATTTACTGTTCTTCCAATTTTTGTGACAGCTGCAAACTTTCAGTAAGGACTTTCTTCCAGGTCATTAATAAAAATGTTAACTAGTGTAGGGTTGAAACCAATAGGTTGTATTTATAAGTGGATCATCCACACTTCAAAATAATGGGCCACCTATTTCGAAAGCTGTACCCGATTTTCCTCAGGGAATACTACTAATTTCAAAATAGTTATTTAAAAATAGCGTTAGTGTGGAACTCCAGTGCTACTATTTCAGAATAACTACTCCCCAGAGTAATTTGAACAAGTTACTGCCCAATACTTCCTGAGGCTCTAAGTCAAGTTAGTGCGGATACATTAATGGAGCCTGCCTCTCACCAATTTTGGGGCTTCCCTGTAGTATGGACACGCTATTTCAATTTCATTATTTTGGAAGATATTAAATCAATCTGAGTTATTTGAAATTAGTTTCCTAGTGTAGATGTGCCATTAGATGCAACTTATCTGAATGCTAATTTTTAAAATCTAATTTTAACAGCTTCTGTTTCACATTGTTCAGAGATTCTAGTGGAATGGAAAGAGAGATCTTCACCATATGATGAAACTACATAATGCAGTGGTCCTCAATATGGTGCCCGCAGGCACCATGACGCCCGCCGGGGCATTTATGTGCGCCCACCTAGCGCCGACTGGTGCATGCGTGGACCCCGCCCCCGGGAACCAGATGCACACGCAGCCTCCGCCCCTAGGTGCATGCACGGCTCCCGCCCCTGGGCGCACAGCTCATGTGCAGCCCCACCCCTGAGCAGCCCGGCTGTCCCTTGCAGCGCCCGCCCTCCAAAAAGGTTGGGGACCACTGATATGTGTTTCCCCTTCCTCAATTAAAAACAAAAATATTTATTGAATACTTCTGCTTTTTTTCCTGCATTACTACTGATAATTCTACCATTTCCATTGAATAATGGACAATACCATTGGCAGGACTTTTTGTTCCTAATGAACATTTGAAAACAAAAAACAAAACAAAAAAACCTAAATCCCTTTTGTCCTCAGCTCTGCTGACCATAGAGTTCTCCTTGTGTTTTTTGGCTTCCCCTATCAATTTGCTACAATTCCTCTTTGTCATTTGCGATTTTTAAGTTGTTTATAGTTGCCTTCACTTTGCCTCTAAACCAGATTTTTTTTAACCAATAGGACCATTGTGGGGTTGTGCCTTTTGAGGATCTAGTAAGTTCTTAGATAATTCCCAGCTATTCACACCTTTATTTAAAAGTCTTCCTTCTTCATAATTGTTTTCAGCTTTGTTATACTGGCCCTATTAAAGCATATATAGATAGGCATGAACTCTATTCAGCTTACATGTACAAGTGACCATGACTTGGTTACTTGTACACTTGTACTAAAGCTATGGTTCACTTTTAGTTGTGTGCTCAGCTCTTCTTTATCTATTAGAACAAGGTAAAATATAGAATTCCTCCATGTTGGCTACAACCCTTCTTGAGTGAGGAAGTTATCTTTGTTAGAAATTCTATGGATGTCTTTAATACTGGCAGTGTGAAACCTTCAGTATAGGTCACTTCAGTTAAGTCCCCTCTCATGATCATGCAACTTTTCTTTTCTACATGTTACAGACCAATGTCTAAGGAAACAGTCATCCTTTTCCAAACTATGATTTGGTGATCTATAGCAGGAACCTTGAGCTCTCTTAGGACCTGATCCTCAACTTTGGAAGAAAACGATTGTTGAATGCTTATCCTGACTTGGAAACAGGTAATGCAATTTTTGACAGAGTGCTGCCATTCCTCCCATTTTGCCCACTCAATCCTGCTTAAACTAAGTTATAACCATAGATTTTTAAACATTCCAATAAGTACCAGTCATCCTCTATAGGTTTTAGTATTAGCAACTCAGTCCAATTTATTCTCACAGATGAGCAATACTCTTATTACCTAGGCTTCCCACTTTTGTGTAGAGGTAATTCAATTTGTGTGTGTGTGTTTTGATTCCTTGATCAATTTTGTTCTCAACCTCTTCATTTTGTGCTAAAAACATCTCATGCCATCACTTTCCACTTAGGGTGAATTTAAGGCCTCTTTGTACTCCTGCTCTGGAGAAAAGGAACTTGACTTGGCCTAGGATGTGGGCTACCTTGCAAGGGATATAGCAATGGCCTCTCTGAAACAAAGCAGCTAAACAGCTAATAAGCCTAATGCTAATAAAAGGATATTAGAGATGCTCCAGGGAGGGAGGTATACAACACAGCTTTCTGGCCAGGGACAGCAGCAAGAATGGGGTTGAGGGCAGGATCGCTACAGCAGACAAAATACCAGTGCAGGGTGTTGGCTCCTGAAGGTGGCAGCCTGACTTGTTGCTGTTTTTCCCTATTGTGATTCTGGTAGCTCTGCAGGTATCTGATTTATAGCCATAGATACAAATTTTGTAACCACACACAGCTCTAGTGATCTACCCAAGCCCCATAGCGAGTCATTTCGGATTAGGCCCTGATTCAGCACAGTGCTATGCTGCCTGGGAGCTTAAGATCTTTAATCAATGGAACTGAGGAACCTACATCTCTTTTGAGTATCTGGGCCTTTGACCTTGCTCATATAAAGTATTTCACAGGCGTGATACATCCCAACACAAGGATTCAGACATTTCCATGTTTATTATTTCAAAGTACACTATATACATCATGTATAGTCATGTCTTGAAAAAACTTCATTTTATACAGAAACATATCTACAAAATTAACAGTTTAAATCAATAGTGAGCATCTCGTCAAATACACATATGTACATATTGGAAGATTGATCATTTTCATCATCAGATAATGTGTAAGTAAATAAAACATTTTTGGGAAGTGAAACTCATACAACTATCATTTTGTATCAGCTGAAAATTCTTTATATTTGGCAACATTTTCAATTATCTTTATGGGCATGAAGAGTTGGATTTCTTGTTCCATCTACTATTACTAATGTTAATATCAAACAGTCTTTTGTGTCAACAGTTTAAAAAGTCATGAGTAAAAGTACTGCCTATTATTGATAGTTCATGCACAGGCCTATACATCTGAACCACCTCACTGCTTCTAAAATAAGTAGTGGGTGTAAAGTTTCAGGTAAGAACACAAAGCAATTAAACTGCAATGCCGAACCAGTTTCAAAAGTTATACTATTTATGTATGCTATTTTCTGTTGCCAGCAACAAGCAAAGAGCATCAGTAAGCCACTGAAGAGCAGAAAAACGTTTTGGGAACACAGACCAGACCCCAGTGTTTTTAGGCATCTATCTACAAAAAGTGAACTTAATATATGTAAGTGGATTTAAAAGGGAAAGCACAGCTGATGTCTGGAATTCAGAGTACCATTCAGACACATGGGTCTGACTTTATAATCTGAAATAGGATTTTCCATGTTGTGGAAAGACCATCACAACTGGGCAGTCAGAAACAGATTTTCTTTAGGACCTGCAAACACATCAGCCTGGTGTGTTACAAACAATTGAAAATTTAACATCAGACCATAGACGTAACTAACAAAGTTTAAATGGGTATTTTCAGAGGGAGCTTGAGGCAGCTAAATACTTAGTACCACTAATCAGAGGGGTAGCCGTGTTAGTCTGGATCTGCAAAAGCGACAAGAAGTCCTGGGGCACCTTATAGACTAACAGACGTATGCTCCAATACATCTGTTAGTCTAGAAGGTGCCACAGGACTCCTTGTCGCTAGTACCACTAAATTTCACTGGACAGTAGGCACCTAACAACCTGTGGCTCCTTCTGAAAACACTGGTCTTAGTTTATATCTGGATACTCTACTTCCCATAGCTCAACATACTGGTAAAGCTTATGCAACACTGAAGTCCCCAAAATAAGGATCAAGTGGAAACAACTGTTGTTTAGGCCATGTGCTGATTCTATAGAGGGATAGATTTCCCTTTGATTTCAAGCTATTCCCCTAGAAAAGTAGCAACATAGCCTTAGTTAAAAGAGTTAAATGCCTTATTTTACCTCCAAAGAAATATTCTGACTCTTGTTGTATACCATGAAAATACTAGCATATTAGTCAGATAAGAATATTCATGAGGAATATTCTTAAATTGCAACATCATCTTGCATATGAAAACTGACATCTATATAGTCAAACAAAACTACTCTCTAGAAAATTATTCCTACAGCAATCGGCCATCATACTTTTGACTTGATAAAGACTTGCATAGAGCTAATGTAAAATACTGGAGTGCCGTATCCATCTGTGACAGGGGCATTAAAGGAAAAAATTATATAGAACATCTGAAAAGACTATAATAATGAACATAAGGATGTCATGACCAGTACATATACAAGTTAAACAACAACAAAAACCATGCAAGTGCGTAGTGTTTAACACAGAGAAAGCAGCACTTTTCTTCTAGACAAAAGGATAACTGGGTGCTCTAAAATAATTTAAGAGCTGGAATGATACAATGCCATAAAGCAATAAGAATTTCTACAATATCATTGCACTTATCCCATCTGTATCACATTTCTTTACTACATTCACATTAAACAGCTGCAGACCACCACAATAAGTTACATTAATATTAAATGCCATTTCTCATCTATTCTCTGGAGTAAGTTTGGCTTCAGAATCTAAACAATGGAAACATTCAGTTTCTTGTATTTTTTTCAATGCATGCAAACAACAGATCTGGTACACGTAGATGTGAAAAAGTAAAGAGTTATGTTATTTGGACACGTGACCTTTGTTCCTGAACACTTTGTTCTGCCATAGGGTCTAATTCTCTCAGGCAAACGTACCAGTCCACTCAACTTCAAGAGGGGCCAGAATTTTACCCAGTGGCACAACTCCCATTGAAATCAATGAAACTAAGATTTTCTCCTTAAAAAGTTAACAGTTTCATACACACTACCAGCCCTCATAGTAAAGGAGAGATAATCGGAGACAGCCTGTGTAAGCTTTCAGGCTGCAGGACTGATTTATATGTTCTTAGATCTAGAAAAAAGGTAATAAAAAACGCTCTAACATTAAAAGTGGGGCACATTTTCTCAAACCTTCCTCCAAGGTTGAAGTCAGTAGTTTTTGCCTTCTTCCAAATCAATGCTTGATTTTAAAATAAAAATGACAAATATTCAGGATTCATAAGGAATTCTAAGTAGATCTGGACTTGATCCTGCAAGCAGTTATGCATGTTGCTTAATTTTACATACAGGAACAAAAATTTCATAGTTTATTCTCATAGATCAAGTTAATCACTTAAAGGTAAAATCTTCAGAAGGGCCAAAGTGATTTAGAGGCTTTAGAAAATTATATATAGACACCTACATTACTTAGATATCTTGGTAACTTTTTCTCTGTTTGAAAATTAGAGTTAAGTTTGCACATTAAGTAAGAAAGTGGGAGATGAATGGGTATGAGAAACATTAAGAGATTAATGGACAACACTGAAATAAGGTTTTATATACGTGGCCTTTCAAATTAATAAAATGGCTACTGTTAAATTGTGGAGTGTCATTTGTATATGTGCACCTAAATACTTTTATGACAACAGGAAGTGCAAATATTTAATAAATACAGTATAAACCCTAAATATATATTTACAAGATGAATTGGTTTGACTCAGAGGCATTATATGGGCACTAATTCCATAAAATAAACATTTACTGTAGGAACGGAACCATTCCAGTCTATCAAAGTTACCTTTATTTAATATTAAACTGTAGAAAATATTGTGACTCTGCCTTAAGGCAACACCATTCTTATTTCCCTATCATTTTGTAAACGAAGGGTAGAGATATCAACTGAAATTTCAAGCTATGGTCACAATTAAATCATTTTGACAGGCTGTAATCACTCATAATTAAAGTTGAAAGTGTCTGATTTTTGTATGGCTTCTACAGTTTAACCAATAAATTAAAATTCACCATTCAAATATACTTTATCTTTTATGGTGAGTTTGACAAGCTGAGCTATACCTTACAATTAAAATGACTAAGCAAGTTGGGAAGGTTTATTTTTAAGGGATCAGAATGTCTTGGAATCAGGGAGTATGTATATTAAATAGTGGACAACTTAACTCACACACTTTAAAATGGTTAATTATATTGAAAATCAAACTTATTTTACAGAATCTACCTGAGTTCAAAGTTATTCAGATTAATAAGTCTATAGATCTGGATTTTATGAAAAATGTGATGAGTTGATCACTCTGATATAACTGAAAATGCCTAGTATCAGCTGCAGAAGCTTCTTATTCTAATTTCTTGCTATTTTTTTTTAAGTCAATTCATAGTAAGTTTCCAGGGAAGCCATTAAACTTTTGTCCATGGGTAAAATATGCATCGTATCCTTAATTATTTTTACAAAAGTTAATTATGAAGCGCCTTTCCCATGCATATATTAATTACTTAATTTAAATATATCAAATGCTTATAGAATAGGGAAGATGTCTGAAAGCCCAGGAAGCTCAGTAGCGCTGGATATGTTCCACAGCAAATCAATTGGGTTCCCCCCCCCCAGCTTAATCATTAGCAGGCTGTTTAATTGCACAATGCAGAAATTAAAATCTCACTGAAGTGTACTTTACATGTAGTGCACACTGCAAAACATCTGGATGCCCTCGTTTCAGAGAAGAGCTCTACAGAGAATGTAGCCTACAGTAAAGTTCATCAATAGCTGAGGCAAAACAAAATTCACGCCAACTCTCATGTCAAGAAGGACAACTTGTGTGGTTAAAGGTTTGCTGGACTGGGCCCTGCCATTGGTTGACACTCAGTTTACAGGAGAAACTTCAGAATGATGGTCTGTAGCACCTCCTTCTTTGTTCTAACTGTTCCATAGTTGGTTACACTTACTTCATCCTCTGTTCTAGTTCATGCTGTTGCTTAATAAGCCGTTCTATTTCCGTTCCTAGTGTCTGCAGATTTTCCTTTGAAGAGAAAAGGAGGGGCAAGGAGATGAAAACATCAATAAATGCAATACACAATATTGAATTTAAATCACCACTTGCTATCAACATTAATGGATTGCTACCTGAAAATAGCATGCTCATACTTGGCAATGAAAAGGTAAGGGAGCAACCTTTCTCTCCACACATTTATAGTGAAGACGATATTTTCCTTTACAGCATCTTTACTATAGATTTTAGGATTCTAATGAGCACGCCAAAAAGGTATGCTGCTTCTGTTCAAAGCTCAAACTAATAAATATACAAAGATACAGACATGAAATCAGAGAGCTGCTTCTAGATACATTCCTTACTAACCTGTCCAACACATCATCAATAAACTACAGCCTATACTGGAACAGGATACCATACTCCAAGAGGCTCTGGGAGACAGACCCATAGTCTCCTATAGACAACCAGCTAACCTCAAGATGATTCTTACCAACAACCACAGGACATACCACACCAATACCAACCCTGGTACCTTCCCTTGCAACAAATCCCATTGCCAGCTTTGTCCACATATTCATTCTGCTGATACCATTACTGGACCTAACCAAGTGAGTTATAAGATCAAGAACACATATTCCTGCGCATCCAGAAATATAATTTATGCTATCATGTGCCGAAAGTGTCTGTCTGCTATGTACATTGGGCAAACGTCTCAGACACTTCGCCAAAGGATTAATGCCCACAAAACAGATATCAGACAAGATCACAGACAAGATCACAAAGAAAAAAAACGATTTCTTGCCATTTCAATCAGAAAGGACACTGTCTCAACGACTTAACCACCTGCGTTCTTCTACAAAGACCTTTTACATCTGCATTTGAAAGGGAATCCTCTGAACTGTCATTCATGTTAAAATTCGACACTCTCCGGGGGGGCGGATTGAACAAAGACCCCAACTATCTTACCCATTACCAGGATAGCTTCCCCAATTATCACCTCTAATACCATTAGCTCACAGACATCTAACTTTCCCCACCTCTAATATCATTAATTCACAGACACTTACCTTCCTTCCTTCCCCCTTCTGTTCTGAAATGTGATTTGTCCTTTTCATATGTGTTCATTTTTTTTAATTGTATCCTTTGGTATATATGGCTGTGACTATTTTCTTCCACTATTTGATCTGAGGGAGTGGGTCTGGCCCACGAAAGCTCATCACCTAATAAACCATCTTGTTAGTCTTTAAAGTGCTACATAGTCCTGCATTTTGCTTCAGCTACACCAGACTAACACGGCTACATTTCTATTACTTCCTTACTAATTGTTAGTCATGAGCCTAAAAGTAGGAGAATCATCCCCATTTTACAAAATATACAACACACACTCACAATTCCAATCTGTATAGAAATCAGAACAGGTGTGTTTTGAACATATTCTTGCTCTTACTGAGTTCTGCCAATATTGGGTACGTCTAGACTACTACAGGCTTTTGTCGACAGAGGCTGTATCGACAAAGAGCGTCTAGACTACAGCCAGTTCTGTCAACAAAGTAAGCCACTTTTTCGACAGAGTCTAGACACTCTTTTGAAAAAGCACAGTGTGGATGCAATAGCACCTTTTGTCGACAGAACTCTGTTGACAAAAGGCATTATTCCTGTAGAATGAGGTTTACCGCCGTCAACAAAACTGCCGCATTCTGTCGACTTACTGTCAACAGAACTCAGCGGTAGTGTAGACGCAGGAATAGTTTTGTCGACAAAAGTCCACTTTTGTCGACAAAACTCTATAGTCTAGACACACCCACTGTGACTAACCATAGTGACAATCTCTTTTGGTAGTCATGTGTTCAGGGTAATATTTATTTGAGAACAGCAAAAACGTTTGCCTCTCAGAATGAAAGGCTATCATGAGTACTCACTTTCAGTGTAATATTCTTTAATAAAGTATCCTCTAGCACAGCCTGTAGTTTCCTGTTTATCTCCAGAGAGAGTTCTAATGTGAGCCCACTATCTGCAGGATGCGATGTGTACAGGGATGCCATGATGCCACCACGCCTGCTCAAATGAACTTTGTTAAAGTCAGAGGCTTCTGAGGACAGCGTGCCAGCTTCTTCCCTCAAAATGTAACTCTGAATAATTCTGGAAAAAATGAGAGAGATCAGTGTCAAACTGCAAGCATTGAGTTATGATACAGGATTCTTGGTGCGAGATATTTATACTATATTTTGGTTACAACAACATAGATCATCGCATGCATCGTGTCAAGAGCAAGAAAAAGCTCCAAGGTGTAATCAGGTAGAGAAATGTCTGAAGTCATTTCTTGCCAAACACTGAGTAATTTCCTTTTTCATACAACAGCAGCAAACATAATCCAAAATAAACATTTCCAGGATCCACCCATAGGGAGAGACCAAGGATGAAATTCTTACTCCCATTTAGGTCAATAGCAAAGCTCCCTGACTTCAGTGTGTTAGTATTTCACCCCACTTTTGCTATGTCTAGAGTACATTCTAGTTTTGAAAGATATGCAAATTCCCTGGGGATTTGCATATCTTCTAATCTCACTTTCGAAAGCGGATCAAAAGTAGTTTTTACTTTCACATTACTTATTTTTATTATGTTTTTGAAGTGCCAAATGTATTATTGTTTGATGTCTTCCTAGACAGTCATTTCCCATTCTGTATGTGTGAAACTGTTCCTTCCCAATTGGAGTACTTTGCATTTGTCCTAAAAGAAATGCTAAACGAGCTGTCTCAATTGCAGTAGTGCCTAAGGAACCCAATCAGGGATCAAGACCCAGGGTTATAAGCTCTGTACTAGCATTCAGGGGGTCCCTCCCCCAGGAAGCTCAGAAACTATAACATTTTATGAGATACTATCTCATGGGGTGGCATCACCATAATAGAGGAGTGCATGTGATAATGGTTAGATTTAATAGCAAAACAACATTCATTCAAAAAAAGAGTATATTACAGCAATACTGTAATATACAGTAGACCTTGTCCTACTAGCTGGGTTCCTGACTAAGTGACAGCAGATCCCATAGCATTCCAAGAATGGAAAAGAGGAATTTTATAACATTCTAAATTGGCTTGGCTTTGTCTCAAATATTTTGTTACAATGGGTGTAAATCATCAGGGCTCGACAAATACACTCGCCTGCTCGCCCAAGGCGAGTAGATTTTGCCAGCTGGCGAGTGCAGGGGCGGACTGGCCCGGTGGGCCGTTGTAACGGGCTGGCTGAAGCTCGCACTACGGGCGGCATGGCCCCATCCAATCCGCCAGCCGGCAGAGGAGCAGAGCGCTGCCGGGAAGGAGGAACCACGGCGATTCTCAGAGCCGGCTGCCTGCATGCAGCTGCGACGCAAGGAGGCAGAGCGCTGGCAGATGCCAGGACACTGGCATGATGTGGCCCTGCCGATTTTAAAGGGCCGCAGCAGCTCGCCTCTGGCTGCGTGTCCCTGGCAGCTGGCTACGGCGGAGCCAGGCCCCGCCTCACTGGCGAATCCCTTTTGTGTCTTGCGAGCAGGGTTTTCCATAATTTGTCGAGCCCTGTAAATCATCATTTATTATCTGTACGACAGCTGCACTCAGAGGTTCCCATCAGGAACTGTATCAGGCTCTGTATCATCAGCGGACCTCTCAGCCAAGCAGCAATTCATCGAACAGCATCTTTATGGGAGAGAAGAACTTGACTGTCTGTACTAGTGTCACACCTCATATAGCCAGAGGGAATCACTACTGGAACAGAGACAGGCACTGTTGACAAGGTGAAAACCTGAACGGCTGGTAGCTCCTGACAAGTTTAAGGAGCATATAGGACTAAGCCACAGATTCAGAGCCTGCATAGTGAATAGTCTAGTAACTGTTCACAAAAAATAAAGGTGAAAAATAAAATCTGAAAACTGCAGCCACAGCAAACCTATCATTTAACATTTTTCTGTCTCAAGTTAATTGTGTGTGTGATGGAGGAGTCGGAGTGTTATGATCCAGAGCAGTAACTGAGAGCCAACACTATGTGATCCAAACGCCATACATACTTGGTTTTTTTTCTGATTTCTTCCACCAGTTGCTTAATGTGATCCTCCATGAATTCCATCTTTTCATTTTTCCGAGCATGAGCCCTCTGTAGTTTTACTATTCTCTCAATCAAGACAGCCTTGTCCACTTCTGGGAAGTTATCCACAGTTCTTGAAGATCCAGTATTCTCAGGTGAGCGATCTTCATTGCTGCTTCGAACATTAAGGGACCCTATCAACAGTCATGTGTTTATTACAGTGTACACAGTTCTAAACAAAGTACTTTTTGCCAAGTACACTGTTAACACTACATCACCAAGAACCTTTAATACTATAAAACTTTGACCACACTACAGAGTTGTATCAGCTTAACTGTATCATGTTCTAAACAGCTATAATTTCAGAGGGATAGGTGGGTTAGTCTGTTTCAGCAAACTCCTAATTGTTTAAACAGCTATAATTAAACTTTACTGAAAAAAAAAAAGCTATATATAGACCAGTGAAACTATTAAATACAAAAATGCTGCAGAGTTAACCCTTTCAGGCTGATGGCAGGGAAACTCTGGAAGCAACTTCAAAAGCGATGGGGGAAGAACAAAAGGAAAAGAAAAGGCTACATCTCTCAAACAACCTTATGGGCTCAAGATGCATACAATTAACCTAATTTAAAACTATATGATATCAATTGGGCAAATAAATGCCAACAAAACTGCAGGGGAAAAAAAAACATGTTTCATCATGGGCCAACAAGAAATAAAATGTTACATAAGCACATTGGTGCCTTTAAACGTGCCAATTGATTTACCAATTATACAGTGCCAATTGCCAATTAGTGCAATTAAACACTGGAGACAGCTACTGATTTGTTTGCTTTTGGCAACATGTAAAAAGTGTCATCTAAGCTATCTCTGAACATAAAAGCAGCAAGTTCAAAAAGAGAGTAAAAAAACTAGACCATCTATAAAAAACACAACAGATGGTTACCCCCAGGACTTTCACTACCAAGACTGACAATATTCCATAAGTCTTGGGGTTCTACAGGAGAAAGGTTTGTAGAAGCGCTAAAAAAAGCATTGCTCAAAAGTACATAATCTACAGTAATAACCAATGACTATTTAAAAACAAACACCTTTCATCTGTGCCAGTAAAATAAGTTTAGAGTTATCAAAATTGAACAGAATTGCTAGGTGTTATGTTACCTGATGAGCTGGAACGACTCCCCATACTGCTAACTTCTTTATCGTAACTGCCATTTTCAATCTGATCCAATTTCTTTCGTGCTAACAAAAAACACAACGAGGTTTACCAAAATGGGAAAAAAAATTAAGGAAATGAGACACACAGACACACCGCCCTAATCCAACAGAAACTGAAACAGTCTAAGTCATATATAATCAAACTACTAGTGATTAACAAACCATCTGAACATCACTAAGTGCTTGGTCTAATACCCACTGGATCAGTCTGTCAGTGTTTCTCAATTTTTTTTTTTATAAAGTACCCCTTATATATATTAAAAGTAAGTACCCCCAGTACCTACAGTTTTCAGACTTTTTTTCCCTACCATTGCACCACATTTGTTTAAACAACTTAATCATAGTCAGGCGGGCGATGAAATTTTTGGGTGTAAAAAGTACAAAAATAATAAAGCACTATAAAACTTAACACAAAAATTCAGTTTTCTCCAAATTTCAGTTGTGCTAATATCCCCCCCAGACTTCTCTCAATTACCCCTGAGGGTACTCGTACCACTGGTTGAAAAATACTGGTCTAAGTGAAGAGAATTCTATCGTTGGATTGTCATGAGACTAATACTTAAGCCATGCTTTATTATTGATATGCATGCTCTTCAAACTGTTAAATGTATGATGCGACACAGCTCTGCAATGTGGAGATCAGTTATTCCGTGACTGCTATCGCTACTGGGAGCTGGCGGCAGTGTCTGTGCCCAGATGTTGAATAGTGCCAGCATAAGAAGTATGAGCACAGGTGTGTTCATACCAGTGTAAGACAGTAAACAGAACTTCCTCTCGCAATATATGAATGGTACACAACAGGAATTTCCACATAAATTCCAAACACCTGAATAAGCCAAACTGCACTCAAAATTAAAGAGTTTATTAACTCCTGTATGATTAATGTTCTTAACTTCCTGAAAGTACAAAATTCATCAGCCTCTTAATGCGTAATATGTATTTAAATAGAAAAAGTGCTTCCTTAATAATAAACAACAAATGTCACCAACAATAACTCTGGCTACCATAGGCACTTAGTAAAGCTTCTGAGGGGTCTTGAATAGACTTCTTTGTAGCGATCAGGAATTGCACGGACGAAGTCTCAATTGTCATATCCCATTTGAATTCACAAAATAGCATGCAAACTGAGAATGTGTGAATCCCTTCCAGTACTTCTATATTTTAATCAAGTCAGCATTTGAAAAACACCACATGTAACATGCCAGCAATTTACTTCCTACGAGATTCAATTAATGGGCCAATCCAGCAAGTCCTCCATCCACAAAACTACTATTTGATATTAAGGATGCCTCTAGGGATTTCACCCTAACAGAACATATGGATGCTGGCAGGAATCCTTCTCTAACAGCCTATGCTAGGAGCAAGGAGGTTAGTACACTCGAGTGGACATAGAACTAGATCTGAAAAGAAAAAAAAAAGTTTCAACCTTGCTGAAGTTGCTTGGTGAGGTCTTTAAGATTTGCCACCTGTTTACGCTTTTGAGTAACTAACTCGTCTTTTAATTCATCTACTTGGGTGTTCAGTGCTGTTAATTCTTTCTGTTGAGAAGCAACCTCTGACTGCAGCGTCTGGACTTCATGTTTGTGTAGCTCTTCCTCTTTTTGCAGTTTGTTTGCCTGAATTTACAATTCAAGAAAAAAATCTTAGAATCACTAAACAAACATCTGTGTACCATCATCAATATCACCAGCATTTTGCACTTATAGTGCACCTCCCCCTTCAACTGAGAAACTCCTATTTTATACAACATTAATTAAGCCTAATACCACCAAGTGCAGGAAAGCCCAAGGCAGTAAACACGGTATAGTATTTATTCCGGAAGTTGGCACTGTATAGAAGATTTAAGATCTAAAAATAATCCAGTTTATAACTTTTCAAAATATATGTGAAAACAACCCATCTTTGCATAGTAAAATGGAATCATCATGATGAGGTTATTACTAATAATTTTTATTTTAGCCATAAAATTATTCTTACAATTGACTGGAGAATGCAGATCAAGCACAAAGGATGCTTTAGGTTGATTTTAAGAGTCATTTTTAAGCAAGGCTCTTCAGCTGTGTCACACTTGATGTACAAAAAAAAAAAAAAAAAAATCAAGCTGCAATCCTACATATGCTTACACAATTAAGTGCTTGCAGGGATTTGACCTATTTAAATTTATCTGTTAAATACGACAGCAATACTCTGGACAATGGGAGGAGCATAAAAAAAGTTCTAGTCTTCCATATGACAACCATGTTCCTAAAACAGGAATAATTTGCAAACGTCGGTTTCACATGCAAATTAAAAACCACTGGGTACAAAGATGAATTAAGGCAATCCAGAGCCCAAGGCATGCCATGATACTGGCCCTGCTACAATTCCACTCCCATTGCCCTACTTGTGTGGAGAACCCATCCTTCATCTACCTAAACGATGGGGGCTAAAGTAAACTCTTCACTCCCAAAGAGGCAGCAGGGTCCCACTCCCAGAGCAGTGGGTCTTCCATTGACAAATACAGGTTATGTTCAGATCACATTTTCCAGGTAGGTGACTGGGCAACAAAATGGCAGATGAATTTTAATGTTGATAAATGCAAAGTAATGCACACTGGAAAAAATAATTCCAATTCTATATTAAAAAGGGGGGGGGGGGAGACGACTAATGTAGCTATTATCATTCAAGAGAGAGATCTTGGAGTCATTGTGGATATTTTTAGGCATCAGCCAAAAAACCCCCAAAAAACCAGAATGTTAGGAATCATTAAAAAAAGGGATAGGGAATATTGCTGCTATGTAAAATCATGGTACTCCTACATCTTGAATACTGCGTACAGATGTGGTCACCTCATTTCAAAAAAGATGTAGTGGCATTGGAAAAAGTTCAGGAAAGGGCAACAAAAACCATTAGGGGTTTGGAATGCCATATGAAGTGAGATTAAAAAGACTGGGACTTTTCAGTTTAGAAAAGAGGAAACTATGGGGGTATATGATAGAAGTCTATAAAATCATGACAGGTGTGGAGAAGTGAATATGGAAAATTATGTACTTGTTCCCATAACATAAGAACTAGGGGTCATCATATGAAATTAATAGGTAGAAGATTTAAAACAAAAGGAAGTATTTCTTCATGCAGTGTAGTAAGCCTTTGGAACTCCTTGCCAGAGAATGTTATGAAGACCAGGACTTTAACAGGGTTCAAAAAAGAATTAGATACATCCATAGAGGTTAAGTCTATCAATGGCTATTAGCCAGGATGGGTAGGAATGGTGTCCCTACCTTATATTTGTCAGAAGCTGGGAATATGTGACGGGGGATGTATCACTTGATGATTCCCTGTTCTGTCTACTCCATCTGGGGCATCTGGCATTGGCCAATGTTAGAAGACAGGATACTGGGCTAGATGGAGCTTTGGTCTGACCCAGTAGGGCTGTTCTTATTCACAGCCATAAGGTCCAGAAACTAACTTTTTTTTTTTAAATAAAAGCTGCAATGCTTCCCTCATTATGACACTGAACAAGAAACTTGGCACAGGCCTTAGAGCCTCTGCATTGATCCAGCCCTGATCAGAGCCTAGTAATACAAAACCTATTTGCATGTTGAACTCACCAGATCATCTTTAGTCTGCTTCACGATTTCCAGCTGGCTCCGTAACTCTCTTTCGCTGTAGGTGAGCTTATCGAGCTGAGTCTGTAAGAAGTTGGTTTCGGACTGCAGCTGTGCATTCTTACTAGTTAGTCTTTCAGTGAATACAAGCAGCTCAGATTCTCTTTTCCTACTGCCTTCAATGTCCTTTTGGAGATCAGTAATCAGAGAGTTCAAGCTGTCCAGTTCTTCCTTCAAAGTGCTGATTTCTTGTTCCTCTCTACCAAAAAGAAGTGCATGTTTAAGGGGTGAATTGTGTTTAAATAAACCAAATGTGAAAATATTAAAAGTGTGTTACAGAAGTGAAATGGCTTTCAAACTCCAAGCCAAAATAAAACTGATGAGCTGCTAGTCATCCCAACCATTCCCCTGGTGATAATGATTAGGGAATACAAGGATCTGCACGTTGTCTGAATTAGAAAATTTCATAACAGCAGTACTGAGTTGTCCTCTCATGGGATGAATCCCAATCAGGGTCAGTTGCTGCTTCCCCTCTGTAAACAGTGTCTACCCGTTTCAAAGTACTACGAGGGCTCTATAAGGGACATGGTGGAAGATATCTGGAAGAATCCCGTGCATACTCCAGGACCCCTGGCCTACTCCTATGACTAAGCCTTGCCCATTTTGTACACTTCGCCCAACAAAGTTGCAGAGATTCAGAATCTGAATCCAGATCCAAGTTCTGTAGCTAATCCCTCACCTCTATAAAGACTATGCCAAAATCCTAGATTTGAGCTGCTTGGGCAGTCCAAATTTGGAAAATCCAAATTTTGTAGCTCAATTCAATTCTATTTCTAACCAATTTACTGAGCTAACTAAAGAGAGTCTTTGGGGACTCTGGTGCAACTAATTTAATTTGCAATTAAGAGGTCAACTACAACACACTCCTTGACTATGCTAGATGATTGAGCACTGATCAATCACCACTAATAAAGCACAGCACAAGAAGATTTATTCTCAGGAGGCACTGAGCAGCTTGCAGAATTAGCCCAAATAAGCCACTACTTTTGCCAGTCTTTCCCAGTTAACTAGCTTGAACGTTCTACAGGAATGATTTCCTTCTTACTCTCTCTTTATGGAAGCGTAATCAATTTTCTTAAACACATTTTAAAATCAATGGGTAAACGAAACATCTTTGCAGACTTTCATAACAATCTTTTGGGAAATATTAGTGTCTAAATATAAATGCATCCCTAGGATGTAAAAAAAATCATGTACATCCTCTTTAAGTGATTTGTTACCATGTGTTCATATAGCATTTGACAATTATTTTAGGTCCAGGTATTACTATAAAACTTCTCTCACCCTTCAATAAAATAATATTGATAGTTTCCTTGAATGAAGGCTGTCCAGAGACAGTAGTGGAAAGAGCATTTAATCAGTAAGTCTTAGTGTTACACAGCCTATTACCATTCACTGTATCTGTTACTTTTACTGAAATCTAGTTAAAGGATTATGAACCAGTGACTAAATTAATCCCTATTGGAACTCTATCAAAATGAATGGCGTTACCACACAGATCAAATGTTGGCCAATACAATTTCATGGGCAATTTTTTCAGCTATCACTTAACCCTAGAACACCTTTTGGCTGAAAGATTAAAAAAAAAAAAAAAAGTTCTATGAGGAACATTATACAGCTGGGAGAGGATACAAATTTTCTGAATACATCCATAGATCCAATATATTGCTCCCTTTACAATGCTTTTAAAACACAAATGCTCCAGTTCCAAAACAGGAACTGAACATATATCCAAAACAGGAACTGAACACTATCACTAAACACATTTTTTAATATATACCTTTGATGTTGCTCTTGCAGCTGATCTACAATTTTCACTCTATCCAGTAAATTCTGAATCTCAGCCTTCTGCCGATTAATAATTTCTTTGTACTTTGTTAATTCATCTTCTGTTCTCAACCGTTCATCTTCCAGACACTTTACCTAGGTGCAAAAGAACATAAGATCAACTGTAATCTTTATTTTCCCACCAAACTTCAGAAACTGGTAAATTAACTCCAACTGCTCAAAAGTTCTAACTACAGTTACTGTAGTACAGGTTGGTCCTCGCTGGCCTGACACCCTTGGGACCTGACTGGTCCCGAATGAGGGGATTTGCTGGATCAGGGAAGGTCCCTCCCCTCCTGGCCTGTGCTGCCACCAGGTTAGGGCTCCAGCCATCCCTGCTGCTGCTCCAGTCCCAGGGCTATTTAGATGCTGCTGGCTCTGCTGCTGCCAAGGCAGAGCTCCATAGCTGGAGCTTGCAGCCACCTGGTTCCACAACTGGGGCTAGAGCTGTTCAACCAGGGCAGAGCTCAGCCGCCACCTGGCTCCGCCGTAGGGCTGGAACGATGCAGCCAGTGCTGGGGCTGGAGCTCCACGTCCGCTGCTGAGCCAGAACTCCCCGCTGTGTTGGGGAGGGAGGATGCCTCCTCCATATCATCCATTCCACACTATAGCTGGATGGGACGTCTGTTAGGTTACTCCAGCTGAGACAGTTTGTGTTCACATAATCTCTGGACAGATCTTCAGCTAATATTTTGGCCTCCTTTATGCTTTTGTAACAGACCATTGTACATGGTACATAACCAGGAAGGAATCTGCTTAATGAGCTTTTGTGGCCAGGTGTTCATTTGGGATTCAGGAGGCACCAAAAAGGATGGACTTTTATGTTCACCCAGAGAGCTGTGCCTTCTACAGTCATAAGACAGTTCCAGATGGGAAAAATGGATAGTAGTCACACTCAGCAGCAGAAAGGTAAGAATTTACCCCACTCCGCTCCCCAGAACATTTGTCTACAAGTTCTGGTAAATTACAGGATCACAGATCTTAAAATAAAAAAATCTGGATAGTTGTTGGAAATAGTCTGAACAGTTGGACCCATGCTAATAAGGAAGCCTGACTTAACAAGAGCAGAATATACAAAATCAGCAGCAACAAGTAGCATTTAAAAAAAAAAAAAAAAAAGAGAGACAAACATTTCTAATGACTTTCCTGTGAAAGGTGACAAAATTCAAGACTGCAGCATATATTGGTTGTAGTGGTACTCCCTTAATAAAACTGCACAGCTGTGCCATGTAGGAGTAATGCAGCCATCCTCAACTCATACTGACAAATCTCCACACCAGATCACAACGCATTCTCGCTCTTGATGTAAACAAGGCAGATACAGTAGGATCTGTTTTCAAAAATCTTTATGTTCCACCTTCAAACTGCTAGAGAGAACTCTTTAGTTACCTTTGTTCTTAGTGTACGCAGCTCATCCATACCCTCTTTAAATGTCCTCTTCAGGTCCTCCAGTTCTTTTATTTTGGCATAGTGTACCTTTCCACAGAGAGAAAGTATCACAACACTGTCACTTTAGGGGGCACAGGACTTCTCTATCCACTATATGCCTACACCCAGCAATAGAGAATATATTTGCTGCTTGCCTGTCTAACTAGGTTTTCTACCATTCCCAGCACCAAAGTATTGGAGTATGCGTACTTCATAACAGTGAGACACATACACACACTTCCTAACTGTCAGGGTGTTAAAAGGCTGGAATAAATTGCCTAGGGAGATTGTGGAATCTCCATCACTAGAGGTATTTAAGAGCAGGTTAGATAAACATCTATCAGGGAAGATCTAGATCAGGGATGGGCAATAATTTTTTGCCTGGGGACACACCAGAAGGGGCGGAGGGCAGGATACTTCCCTGCTTCCCCGCCCACAGACCACGATTGGTCTGGGCACGGGGCAACGCCTTTGTCCCCCTCCTCAGAGGTTCCCCCTAGGCGCCCATGCCCATAGCGGTTGGAGGAGTCGTTACACGCCCCCCCCCCCCTTCTGTGCCCAGGCCAATCAGGGCTCAGGGGCAGGGGAGCATGAAAGTTTCCTCCCACCCTGCCAGCAGCGTGTGGCGCTTCTAAGCACTGTGCACTCCTGGCAGGGTGGGGGCAGAGCGGAGGAAACTTCGTGCTTTCCCCCACCCCAAGGCCCTAATGGGCCTGGGACAGGGGATCGGCAGGGCCTCTGTGGGCCAGGTCAACCCGGTTGGTGGGCCGGATCCAGCCCGCGGAGGACCCTTTGCACACCCTGATCTAGAAGATACTTGGTCCTGCATACACACACAAGTATTTGTCCTGGGTTAAATGTATATACATTATTAGCTCCCACTGAGTAAGTCACATCCCCAAAATAAATATTAAAAGAACTGTATAACTTTTAAAGTAAAATACTCAAAAGTTTAAAAAAAAAAATCAGCCTAGAGTGCAAAAAATCTGCAGCTCATGTGCAATAATACATGTGCACAAGAGGCCGCATTAAGAGTTGTAAAGGCAACCTTAATTTTGGCATTTCCTAATTTCTGAATGTTTGACTTTGCAACTTTAACATTTTCTTCATATCATTTTTGGGATATAATTTCCCAGGGTTTGTAAAAAAGCAAACCAAAGATAATCAAAAGTTTCATTATGTTTAATCACATTGAACTCCAAGCTGGACATCAACTAAGGCTGTGATATCTTCATTCTTACCACTTCAGTTAAAGTAAATGGTAACAGCTGAAAGCTGTTAGGTTTGGTGGGGCTGCCACTAGAGGGGGATGAGACATTGTGCCATGGGATGCCATAGCATTCCTCTTCTGCCTAGCAAATAGAGAACACTCAAATTCTGGGTTTAATGCCAGGTTCTGAAAGGGAATGTGCTCTAGTGTTAACAGATCCTAGTTGTGCTGTCTATAATAGTAACAATTTTACCTCCAGCTGCTCAGTCTTTTCCTGCATTTGCTTCTCTAGTTCTCCCTTTGTCACTCGGAGTTTTGCATCCAGTTCATTTGATTTAATTTCTTCTGACTCCTAGTTGAATTGGAAGAAACACGCAAATAAAATGTAATTTGAGTGTTTTTCAAAAACACAAAAGATGCACATTCTTATCACTGAATCTGTGTGATATGTTCTACCTCACATAGTAGTTTTGAATATTGAAAAACCCCACATTGTACTCCAAAGCCAGACTCAAGATCCTACTTTCCCCCTTATTTCTTCTTTATTTATGTCTTGAATTGCTGAAGTTTATAAACTTAATGGTCTGACATTTCACATGTAGCATGCATGCAATAATTTTTCATCTTATTATAATTTAAGATACAAATAGGAAAATATCAGATGTTAAACATATTAATTTCACCTCATGAGAAAGTATGCCTACTTGGTATGTTTTTATCATTTCTTGGCAGTTTTTCCGTATTTGCTCTCCCTCCTCTTTTGCTTGAGTTAACTTTGTCGTTGCATCTTTGAGTCGATCTTTGGTTTCCTAGAAAATAAACCATGAACAACAGGATGAACTTTTGGCATGTCACAGAGCAACATTTTGAATTGGGTGGTTGGGAAAAAAAAGAGGGGGATTATAACCAAAATGTCTTCAATTCTAGTAGAGTTTCCAACTCATGATTTTATTGAGTCACAATATTTGGTATTTTTTCTTCTAATCCAAGCTATTGGAGTATATTATGTGAGAATCTCAGCTTTATTTAAATGAATCTGTTCTTCGCTCTCAAGATTGTGCAAAAACATAACTAAGTAATCCCCAAACCTCAGAAATGAGAACGCAAACAAAAATAATTCCCAATTATTTTAAAATGGTTGTGATTTTAAAGTCAATCTCATATTTTATTGCGTGATGTGACAAGATATTTGAAGACTTGAGTATTCTGCCATCATTAGTATAGTCTAGGTCTATATTTCTCAATGACTGGACCATGGATCAGTGCCAGTCCCTGAGATCTCTCTGTCACAGTTTAGGAAGGCAACAAGCCAGTCCATTGCATGAAAAAGCTTGAGACACAATGGTCTAAGTCACCTCAGTCTTTATTTACTTGTCACCTCAGCAATGGTCTACTAACTCCCCAAAGCTTCCACTACCTCATCTATCACATTCTCCTATTTCAGTGGCACTAGCCACAGATTTTCAAAGCAGGCCAAGGAATTTAGATGAATGGAAAATGTGTCCAACTCCCCCAGTCTGCTTCAAAAAAATTAAATCTTTAAGCTTTTGCTGATCACTCTGCTTAGAAAGTGCTGCACCTCCAACTGTTCAATCATCTGTTTATGGCTCTCCGGAATGGCAACATCACCACTCAAAAACCTCAAGTGGAAAAATCTGCTTTCACCATTGTGTTCCTGTAGCCATATTTCTAAGAGCCAAATTGAAGTCTCCCTTTGGTAACACAGGAAAAGCAAGTGACTTTTAGTGGCTGACTCCTCATTTGAGAATAGAAATCATGTTGACTGAAAACTTCATCATTCAATCTCAGCAATTTTTTACTCTCCATCTCATCCTTCATTCACTATCAACCTGGTAAGTTATTCAGAGAGAGGATCTAGTTATCTTATCTCCCTGCCCTTATAGTAATTAATCTCTCTTTTTGCAATATATATATTTTAAGAGAACCAAATGTAAGGAACCCTATCCAGTTGTGTTTTTCTTTTCAATGAAATTGTTACTGTTTGCAGTCTAAATCACACACACATTCTAAACTGACTCATTCAGGAGAGGGGAGATAAGAAATTCTTAGCAAGGATTGTGTCACGGTGTGTTATGAAAGACATTTAAAAGCACTCGTGCAATCAGAGTAAAGCAGAAATTCCCCTGGCTCTATTCCAGTATCTCTCAATCTTGGTGTGCTGGTGACCTCCCTTGAACTTAAAAACCCCTGTGACCGCCATACTAAGACTTACAGGAGATAGGGGGTACCATTAGGTGGTGGGAAGCAGAGAAATCGCCCAGACCGCATGCCACAGGGGACCCTGCAAAGCAAAGTTACATGCTTCAGTCCCAGCAATGAGACTCCGTCTTAAGCTTGAGTCCCAGAGCTGAAGCCTGAGCCCCATTGTTCAAGACTGAAGCATGTAACTTTGCTTTGCAAGGGCCCCCTGCGGCATGAAGTACAGGCAATTACTCTGCTTGCCATCCCCAATACAACTGTGCTCTTCTCCCCTCTAAATCAGTCCCAGGTTGAGTAGCACTGTTAGTCTATAAAGTGCTACCAGAGTATAACAAAACATGTGGATGGTATCATGAGCTTTCGTGGGCATAGCCCACTTCTTCAGATGACCTGAGTTATCTGAAGTTAACTCTGGTCACCTGAAGAAGTGGGCTGTGCCCACAAAAGCTCATGATACCATCTACATGTTTTGTTAGTCTATAAAGTGCTACCAGACCATTTGTTATTTTTTTTCTGTAACAGACTAACTCGGCTACCTCCTGAAGCTACTGATATACTCGGTCACCCGCTCACTTTTCCACTTCACTATCTATAAAGTGCTATTCCAAAAATCTACGTATAGATTGCCATGTTAAAAGTAAACAAACTATTTTTAAACTATTTTAATGCCCCAAAGTAAGAAAACAGCGTAGTAACTACACGTGCTTGTTACGATCTTACTTCATAATATTGCTTTACTAACCTTGTGTGAATCCATTTCGGTTTTCAATTTGTTTTGGGCCCATTTTACTTTGATGACATGAGAATTAATTTCTTCTTTCAATTTTTCTATTTCTCTGTTAAATCTAGTGGCTTCACCCTCCTAAAAAAAAACACACAGAAACAGCCACAGATCATATTTTATCAATTTTAAATGCAGATTTTTATGCAGCTAGAGACTCAGACTCACACGAGTGACAAGTACAGATTTTCATTTTTAAGGCCCCAAACTTGTAAACATTTGCATACTGTTAACCATATTAAACGTTTATAGGATTGGGTCTTAGTGCCTTAATTATCTAGGTCTGGACTGCCAATGAGAACTACTCTCTGTCCATATGCAGTACTGCTACATTTGCGATAAAAAAAAAAAAAAAAAGAGTTCTAACTGAAGCAATCTTGACTAATTCCACTAGGAATTTCTAGCAGACTTTTTTCCATGGGGGTCTCTTGAATGGAGTTACAGAAATTCATGAGAGACTAGATGTACAGACCTTCTGGACAAGTGACAAAGCCTATGGTTCTTTCTGCAGGCTTAAGGGAAAGATGCACTTGGGGGAGGAGAGGAGTCAAATTGTAGGAGGATATAGCAGAAAACATGAATTTTACTAACCTTTGTGGGTTGTCAGACAGAAGCATTGTGTAACTGGATATCTGATCAAATGGACAGTTACAGTAAACTTCCGATAATCCGGCACCTTTAGGACCCAGGGGGTGCCAGATTATGAGATATGCCAGACTATCGGAAAGGGAGGCTATGAGGGGTTTGGGGTGGGGTGGGGAAGATTGGAGGGGCAGCATTGTGGGACCAACCCGGCAGCCCCAGCTGCTCTGCCCCAGAGCAGTGCCAATTGTCCGGCTGCCTGGAGCACTTCCGGGTTCCAGGTGGTGCCAGACTATCAGGAGTGCCGGACCACTGGATGCCGGACAACTGGAGTTTTACTGTATTAAAAAAATTGTAAGTTGTTTAAATGTCTCTATACATCTTCACTTCTTATAAAAAGTGATTATCTATAGTACAGTGGCTCACAAAAATAAAAAGATGTGCTGTTAGCACTCTACAAACCTCAGTTCAGAACAACACAGGGAATGCAGGAAGATGAAAATAGGACCTCATTTCCCCGCCCCCCCCGAAAGGAATATATTGACATAAAATGAGTCCTTCACAGCCACCAAGTAAAAGGGAATTTAATAAGATACCTACCATTCAATAATTATGACAGACAAGTGCTTTCCTGATTTAAATAGGGTTTTTTAATCATTTCTTTAAAACAGTGGTTCCCAAACTTTTTGGCATCACGCCCACTTTTTGATTTTTGAGAAACCCTCATGCCCCCGCCCCCAACAGCAGCAAGACTTGTTGAACAAAAAAGGAACTGACGGGCCAAAAAACAAAAATAGCAGCAAAACTTGGGGGGCTGGGGGGGCGGGGAGAGAAGAGACTGGGTCGCCTCACGTGCCCCCGCTCCCCTGGAATGTCTTCATGCCCCCCAGTTTGGGAACCCATGCTTTAAAAGTACCTTGGTTTCATAGAGCTGATGCAATCTTCCTTTTTCCTGAGAAAGTTGTTTGATTTTATTCACATGCTTTTCAATTTCTTTATTTGCATCTCTTAGTCGTCTTTCCAGTAACTCCTTTTCCTTTCGGAGATCTAGAGACTCCTTTTCTCCTCGAACATATTTCATTACCATAGTTTCCTTTTCTTGCCGTGCCTCTTCACATTTCTTGTTTGCCTTTAAACATTTAAATTCAGTCATAAGTTTACATTTCACTACTGATAGTTTTTATACACAAACAATGGATACGATATTCTAACACAGTAATTAAAACATAACTGAAGTCTTAAAGGCCCCAATTCTGTGAGCAAGTTATGCATTGGCTTAACATTACTACCATGACCAGTCCCATTTAAATCAGTGGGACTATCAGAGTTCTTACTATTACAGGTATGTGTTTAAGTATTTGCAAGCTAAAAGCTAAATATTTTATTTAAGCTGCATAATGAGTGAGTTGGTAATTGGCATGTACTTGATGACTACTAAATGGAGAATATATAGTTGTTAATTCCTAGAGTAGAAAAATATTTTGCAGATGTTCAGTTCCAATCCTCTATCATTTCCCTCCACTATATAATTTAACAATCACTTTTCAGATGTATATCACTTCTCACATAGAGACTCTGTGGTCAAGATATTACTAATATTGTTTCCTTAAGAAAATGGAAACAAAAATTAGGTTCTAAAATTCTTGTAGCCCAGAGAAAGCCCTTGTCTTAGCAAAATCTTAAAAGAAAAAACAGATGTTCTTCCAGCAGCATAAATGAAGTAAATATATTATTTCTTTGTACCATTTTAATTGTGCTTGAAAAGATCAGATTTCACTGGTAAGTGTGCATAACTGCTGACTTCTTCCTCCATTCAAAACCAATGTAAATGTTGAGCAAATAAAAATTTACAGGGAACCAACTGTTCCAGAGCTGCTTATTTTTCATAAAATTACACAAATGAAAGTGACTCAGAAAGAACATATGTATTAGTACCTCTACAAAAGGTTACAAATACTTGAAAGTTCACTAGCCATCAAATTGTATGCATAATTAAATCTTATTGATTAAAAAGATTTTGGAAGCCTTGGTGTATCAATTTTCAACGCACCTGCTTGCAACTCTCCTATAGCAAGCAAATTCTTTAATGAAAGATTCAATTATTACAACAACTTCAAAGGAATTCAAAATTACCTGGTCCATACGAAATGCCATTTCTTTATGCAATTGCTGTATAGTATTTTTGGCTGCAGCATCTTGGTTTACAAGTTTGTCTTTAGCAGTTTTAACTTCTTTTTTGAACTCTTCTATTCTTGATTCTAACTGTAAAACAAACAATAGATAATTAGAGAGAAGAGAGTAAAAGATTCCATACATTTTTACAAACATTTCTTATAAATTAGATGTCACAGTATTTTTAAAATATATACCGCACATGTCAAACTTTAGTCAAACTGCAACAACCACTAGTAACAGCCCAGCATTTTAATTACAATACTAAAGATGAAAGGAATGGAGATCATCTATCAAGTGCTGATTGCCCCATACTAAGCAAAACTTTTGGACTTGAATAACTTATTGTGTGAAAGGATAAAAAGACAAATGCATTATATTTTAAGATTCTTATAATCAGGGATGGTTAGTAAGCCACACACACCTCTTTCACAAATAAAGTGCTGTTCATGGATCCCTCCATGCCCTGTTGCACCCCACTCCTATTCGCCACCTACCAAACTGCAAAGAGTAGAGCTTGGAACCTCTTCCTTACAGTGGGGTAGGGGTGTCTACCCAGTGGAGTGAGGTGGAGTCTTGGGTCTTCAGCCCTGCAGGGCATGTCTGTTGGGGCTTGGGTTTCAACAGGGATGGGGCTGAAGCCCCAAGTCCTGGCACATGTGCCGCAGCTCTCAAATTGCCGAAGACTGTCACAAGAGGCTAGGAGGGCAAGTAAATTTGGCCGCCCCACTTAAAGCAAGGGAAGCATTTGTAACGTTTCAGTGAAAAAGGACAGAATAAAAATTGAGAGCTTGGCATTAGAGTCTATATTTTTACATAGTTATTTAGAAAGATATCCATGTCCAAAAGGCAAGAGTCAGACAAAACTGTTTTGTCGCCATATCAAAGACTTGGTCCTGCCCTCTAATGCTGTGAGCATGAGAACAACCACACGCACGCACAGCTGGATGATCATACTCCGTCGAACGTCAGACAAGCTAACCAAACACTTACCTAAGAACATCCTAGACATACATTTCTTTAGAAAAAACAAAACAAAGCCTAAATCTGTTACTGAAACTCATAAATATAGTTGCTGCCAAGTTCCCTTTCAAGAAGCAATACAAAAGAACTACTTGAATAACTTCTTTAAAGTAATGATATAGGAGTGTAGGCATTTAAAAGGATACCGATAAGCTCATGCTTATTGGCTAACTCAAACGGTAACACTTTTTTTTTAATTGTATCCTTTGGTATATATGGTTGTGACTACTTTCTTCCACTATTTGATCTGAGGAAGTGGGTCTGGCCCACGAAAGCTCATCACCTAATAAACCATCTTGTTAGTCTTTAAAGTGCTACATTGTCCTGCATTTTGCTTCAACTACCCCAGGGAACACGTGGCTCCCTATTCAGCTCCCAGCTTGAAAGCCAATTCCTGGCACACGTCGACTCCCACCTGCCACCCCACTCCCAGGGGGCCAGTTGCTACTCGGTGCTGCTGCCTCTGCTGCAGAGGTAGCAGCGTGGGATAGAGCCCACTTAAAAGCTCCTGGGGAGCTGGCTGCCACCCCACAGGTAACCAAGTAACTGCTGAAGTTTTCAGTGGTTACATGATTAGCCAATTACATGCTTTTCAACATCCCTACATTAAAGTAATATATTCTGGAATAGTCCCAAGTGTGCAATATTAAAAGCGTTAAAGATCTGACTCAGCTGACAAAATGGAATTGACAGTAGTACCAGAAAGTCCCACTTGTAATTAGCACTTTCCATTACAGCGCATAAGGTATGAAGTCTCACACAGCAAACCTAAGTTCCATATGCAATCACTGTGTGACAATGGGGACTAGAACAAGAGGCACAGAGTGAGCTGCATTTGTTGGTTTATGCAGAAATTTGTTTCCATTTAACTTGCAATGCTTTTTAAAATGTTAATTCAACTTTGGTCCAAGTGATGGACTTTCAAAAACGCTTTGAGATACATAGAAACATAGTTTGGGGGGAGGGGAGAGGGGTGTCCATCCTACTAATCTGTGTGGCATAGAAATTAATAAGTAAATTTATAACCTTTCTGAAACATCAACATTGATTTTAATATATAAAAATTAGTTTGGACACTATTTCACCCCAGTTTAAAAAAAAAAGTTATAAATGCACGCCTAATAACCATTTGTGACTGTTCTCAGTAACTATTATCTTGAAAATGTCAATGTCATACACAGAAACTTGAAATACCATGCATTATTTGTTCTTGTAATTAGTTATACATACCCCATATAAATTATTAGCATTCTTTTGCGGTATCTACTTTAGAGTATATTTATATACAATATCATCAGAGATTTCTCCCTTTTATGAATTAAAATCTCTCAACTTTAGTGGTTTCTTTTCACTAACAAAAAGGAAAGAGGATGAGATTTCTCCCTTTTATGAATTAAAATCTCTCAACTTTTGTTTTTCACTAACAAAAAGGAAAGAGGACAGACTACTGTTTAGATTGTTTCTGAATATCTGTAAGCTATTCAAGGAGACATCTGTAGAAAATTCTTCCTGTAAATCTACACACAATACCTAGTTCCAAAAGGGAGTACAACTTTTTAATATGTTAAGATTCTTCTAATGTCACCAATTTCAACAATGTTTTAAGAGGTCAACAGCTGCAGAATTCTCAGATTCAATTATAATTTTAGCTGTCAAGCTGAGTTTATATATAGGATACCTTTAGCTGGAAATTTGTATATATACTACAATTTTTAAACTAACAAATAATCCTTAAAGGTGGTCTCTCTCACACACGTGTTCTATAGAAAACTGGCAGGCCCAAACAGTAAGGGTGCATCTAGACTGGCATGATTTTGCGGAAATACTTTTAACGGAAAAGTTTTCCCATTAAAAGTATTTCTGCAAAAGAGTGTCTAGATTGGCATGGATGCTTTTGCGCAAAAAGTGCTTTTGCGCAAAAGCATTCATGCCCAGTATAGACGCGCTTTTGCGCAAGAAAGTTCTGATGGCCATTTTAGCCATTGGACTTTTTTGCGCAAAAAATTAAGATGCCTGTCTACACTGGCCCTCTTGCACAAGTATTCTTGCGCAAGAGAGCTTATCCCTGAGTGGGAGCGTCAAAGTATTCTTACATTAGAACGTCAGTGATCTTGCACAAATTCAAGCGGCCAGTGTAGACAGCTGGCAAGTTTTTGTGCAAAATCTTGCCACTCTAGACGCACCCCATTAGTTTTCAGATATATGCAGTATTACAGTGCATACCAAGGTTATGTATGTTTTTCACTTTAGCCATGTTTCTACTTACTGGAGGATCAACACTCTGGCAATCAATCTTCCGGGGTTTGATTTAGCGGGTCTAGTAGAGACCCACTAAACCAAACACTGAAGGTAGCCACAGTACTCCTTGCTGTTGCAAGGAATAAGGGAAGGCAACAGAAGCATTTCTCCCATCAACTTCCCATTATGGAGATAACCCCAAACTTGGCCCAAAGTATGACGACTCCAGCTACATTATTTAAGTAGCTGGAGTTGCGTACCTTAAGCTGACCTTCCCCCTGCAGTGTAGACCTGGCCTTTGAGTATGAATTCTGGTGCTACCTTTTAGTGCACAACACCTGGGGGGGGGGGGGGGGGGGGCAACTATGTGGAGTACTAAGTGCTTTTAACATCCTGTGACCTTCATATGAGATCTGATGGCATTCACAGATTGGGCCCATGGACCCCAATACCAAGAGATGGGGAGCATCTGCAACTCCCACTGACTTCAGGAGACTTCCAGATGCTTAACATTTCAGTGGTTTGAACCCAGTAACTGTATTAAACCAAAGACAGCAGTAAGTGCTTTCAATAAACTAACAAGGCATTTGGGATGGACGAAAATGTCAACAAATGCCTTGGGAGCGTGTTTCCTTTTCTGCTCACACATACAATGCACTTTTCTTATCTGTACCTGTTTAATAATGTTGAGATGCTGCTTTTCCGTTTCTGTTCGTTTTTTCAATTCATCTTTTAACTTGTCCTTTTCTGAACAAATATCTAAAATAAGTTCCTGATGTTTTTTGTTTTCTTTAATCAATCTGTAAAGATAAAATGAAATTGTTTTGCTTTGCTGTCTGTGTGGAAGATATGGAAAAGTGATCCAAAGAATTTTTAACCCAGAACAGCTTTGTTGCACACCCTTATTTGGCTGTCTGCATTTCTGTAAAAGCCTTGCACTTAGCTACACTAACAATCTAGCTGGCACCAACGTAAGTGATTATTTGCATGGTCTCTCTCTCACCATGGCATCAGAGTACTTTCATCACGTAAGTGTAGAGTCACAACAATGGATGTAAACATACTGATATTATCTTCGTTTTATGGTTGTGCAGACTGATCTGCCTTACCTACAGTCACAGAGGAAGCCTGCAACTCAGCTAGAAATTGAACCCAGTCAGGTCCCTTAACCACAAAATTATCTTCTCTCTTCCTACTCATAGGTAGTTCAAAAATTTTAAAACAATTTGTTCCTTTACAACAGTTCTCAACCAGAGGTAGATATATGCCTGAGAGTAATTAGAAGTCATCCAAGAGGTACATCAACTCATGTATTGATTTATTTGGACAGGCGAGCAGATGACTCATTTACAGGGACAGTTTTTACATTCAGTCTGAGTACAAAATGGCTTTGTTAACGAACACACTCGAGGGAGAAGCTCTGTGAGCCACACGCTGTGTATGCACTAGGGACGGGAACATGCATGTACTTAAGTTACACGGTTACATGCAGGGGGCAGGCAGCTCATGGTTTCCCCTCCCCTCTGCTGCCTCTGGACTGGAGGCAGCAGCGCAGGGTGGGGGGCAGGCGGCTCCACTACAGCTGGTACATGCGGGGCCTTGCTTTAAAAACCAGCACCCCGGGTCTACTAGCTTCTACCTGCCCCCTGCTCTGAGCTGCTGCCTGTGAAAGAGGCACCCTTGCATGGGGGAAAATGGTCCGGCAGGAGCTGGTGCATACGGGGAGCTGGCTTGAAAGCTGGCTCCCCATATGTACTGGCTCCTGCCTACCCCACCCCTGCGCTGCTGCCTCTGTCAGTCAGCAGCATGAGGGGGGCACGTAGCTCTGTGGGAGCTGGTGCTTTTAAGATGGCTCCCCTGAACATCGCTCCTGCCTGCCCTCCTTCTCCCCTGCACTACTACCTCTGTGGGAGGAAGGGTAGGGGCGGGCAGCTTCACAGGATTCTCTGGTCCTGCAACGTCTGTGCCAGACTATGGATGTTGCCAGACCAGAGAATCCCGGTTAAGAGAGTAATTATTAAATAATGCCATTGGAATGTAAATATTGTGCTTTCAGTACACATTGCCATGTATAGTATTTAGATCAGTATAAACAAGTCATTGTGTGAATTTTTAGTTTTGTACTAATTTTGCTAGTTCTTCATATACAGGCAGTCCCCGGGTTACGTACAAGATAGGGACTGTAGGTTTGTTCTTAAGTTGAATCTGTATGTAAGTCGGAACTTGCGTCAGCCGCTGCTGAAACTGATCAGTTTCAACCGCGGCTGAATCTGGATGCCAGTTCTGACTTACATACAGATTCAACTTAAGAACAAACCTACAGTCCCTATCTTGTACGTAACCCGGGGACTGCCTGTATATGAAGAACTAGCAAAATTAGTACAAAACTAAAAATTCACACAATGACTTGTTTATACTGATCTAAATACTATACATGGCAATGTGTACTGAAAGCACAATATTTACATTCCAATGGCATTATTTAATAATTACTCTCTTAACCGGGATTCTCTGGTCTGGCAACATCCATAGTCTGGCACAGACGTTGCAGGACCAGAGAATCCTGTGAAGCTGCCCGCCCCTACCCTTCCTCCCACAGAGGTAGTAGTGCAGGGGAGAAGGAGGGCAGGCAGGAGCGATGTTCAGGGGAGCCATCTTAAAAGCACCAGCTCCCACAGAGCTACGTGCCCCCCTCATGCTGCTGACTGACAGAGGCAGCAGCGCAGGGGTGGGGTAGGCAGGAGCCAGTACATATGGGAAGCCAGCTTTCAAGCCAGCTCCCTGTGCATACTGGCTCCCATGGAGCCATCTGCCCCCTACACTGCTGCCTCTCTAGCAGAGGCAGCAGGGGAAGAAGCAGATGGGAGCCAGTGCTCGCAGGGAGCAAAAAACATGCATGGTTACACATATACGATTTTTAATATCCTTAGTTGATATCCGCTGTTTTACAGCATGGCAGTTTGAAGGCCGAATCAAAGCTGTAGCCAAAATGATAACATTTTTATTGATGATTATGGCTACATATGGCAACATTCCAGGAGCAATAAGGAAAAGTTATACTTAAAAAAAATCAGGGGTAATGTTTTCAAAAGTGCCCAAGGGCCTGATTTACAAAGGCATTCAGGTGTCCAAAGGCCAGACAGGAGCCAAGAGGGATATCCAGTAGCACCTAAACAGGTTAGCTAGCTCCCAGGAACTTAAGGGAGGTGCAGGGCTCACTGTTTCGGAAAGGGTACAGAGCAGATAAGAAGCAGTACTGGTTTGTCTGCATCTCTTTAAGCTGCTACAATAAAATATTTACAAATGAAGTGCACAGTAAACAAACAGGTAAAACCCAGCTAACTTGTTTGTACACAGTACTCAGGAGTTACAGTCGTCATCAATAGACTCACTGCCTCTAACTCCCACTCCCCAAAACACTCCCAAATTCTTTGCAGTTGCTTAGAGCATAATGTACACGTGCCAGACTAAAAGTCACAGGCTATTTCCATTTAGTCTGTCTGGTAGCAAGATTACCAAAATTATGGCAGCTCTCTCCCAAATCCCATGCTTTGAATAATTTGTAAATGGTCATCTGTTACTGTGGAGTCACAGTTCCTCCCACAAGAAGCTAACACTAAAAATAGAGATATATAAATAAAAGCCACTCTCACTTCCGGCCTGTCAGCAGGAGTGTACAAAGTGAATGATTAGGCATTTAAAATGGTCAAATCCCTCTCATGTTATACAGGGAAAGCAATATGAAAGTCAAAAGGAGAACTAAGAATTCAAGCAATGAGTTGAGAGAGAGTTGAACAATTTTCATACAGTAAAAGGAATTTAGCAATTTTAGTACAAAAGTTTCTTACAGCAAACTTTGTATACATACACGCAGTAAATTATTAATTTCAAAAGCTTTCCTGTAACTTTTTACTATGTTACCAGATGTTATTGGATAATTGACTGTCTATGCATAAAAATAATAGCCCTTAATTCATACTTTTCTGAGAACTGAATTAACAATTTTCTTTTTCATGCCTTCTTTTTAAAATTCAAACCTGGCTCTCTCAAACTTGAGGTGTCCTCTACCAGTTTAAGTTAACAATCATAATTGGTTTAACAAATGGGACTGCTGAGGATATTCTACAGTAGGCGATATAAACATGATATTAAATAAAATGATGGTTAATTTCTCATATTTGACAAAGGATTCATGTCACCAGTACTGTGATGGAGTTAACAAGAAATTCTAGCTAATGACAGGTTAACTGACCATGAATTTCAGATTAAGGATTAGCAAATTTCTGTTCAATTCCTGCCACATTTAACAAGAAGTTAGAGGTCTACCTATACCAACTGTATGCATTTGTAAATTACATTTAGACTGTTTATAGAGTTTGTTTAAAAAAAAAAAAAAACCAAAAAAAACCCCACGCTTTTATACAACATCCTTAAAGAGCTAATTAATATAAACCAAAATCATGACAAGGATTAACAGCTAAGACTACATATATTGCACAACATGAGATTGTAACTCCATAATACACAATGTGTAAGAGTATCCTTATTTGTGTAAAGGTTAATTTACTCACTTCTTTATAGTTTGCTCCTGTTGGAAGTATCTGTCTTGCATGCATTTTTCAAATGTCGCTAAGGCATGTTCACCTTTCCTCATCCCATTTGGGATCTTGTGCTCTTTTGTAAAGTCTGTAGATAACAGTTCAGATTCTATTTCTTCTAGAAAAGCCTCCTGTGATGATTGCTGTATTGTGGAAATAAGTTTCTTGGTACAGTCTGTGTCATAAGGGCTTTCTGAATAGATTCTATTGCTAGATTTTTTTGTAAAATCAGACTCTTCCCTTAGCTCCTGCAGTATTTCCATTAGGGATTGTTCTGTGCCATTTTTTGAAACCTGTTGTTCAAAACCTCCACCAGGCAAGTGTTCTGCATTCACACAGTCTTTTATTTGTCTTTCAGAACACGTATTAGCACAGCAGTCTCCGGCTCCACTATAATTAGGTAAAAGCTGTCGCTCCTGTGCTTCAGTTACGAGTCCATCCCCTCTTATGTCAATAGCTGCTCCATTATGGTTTGATGCCAACAATTTCGGTGCCCTTTCCAAGCTGGAATCCTCTTCTCCAGTATAGCCAACATCTGAGCAGTCCTTCCCTTCAGAGGTATTGCTTGTGCTGGCAGGTGTACTTTCTTCCTTTGATGGATTAACTGGCTCCAATATGCTCTGCTGCATTTCTGATAAACACACTTCCATCCTTCCCTTTTATGAATCTAGAAAGAGAATTTGAACAATATATTACATTAAAAAAGGCAAGATTTAAAAGGGGGAAGAGAGTAAAATGAAAAGACTTGGCTGGAAGTTAAGCCACTGGAGGAGGGGAATAATTTGGTTTTACATTCCCAACCACTAGCCCATCTTTTTGTCTGCTAAATATTTTAACAATCACTGTTTCAACAATTATAGTTTCTTATTTAAAAAATAAATCTGATTCTATTTCTTCTAGAAAAGCCTCCTGTGATGATTGCTGTATTGTGGAAATAAGTTTCTTGGTACAGTCTGTGTAATAAGGGCTTTCTGAATAGATTCTATTGCTAGATTTTTTTGTAAAAATCAGACTCTTCTGAAGGGAAGGGAGGGCCGAGGAACTAAAACTCTGAAATGTAATTGGTTTTATATAATGAATTTTTTTTACTCCCTTTCAATAACTCTTTTAGTCTGAAGAGAGGAAACTGTAGAGGTGGCAAATGTTCTTTTGCTTTTTAAGAAACACAATAACCAAGCACTATCTTCTACTTTCAGATAAAAATAGCAAAAGCAACACTTCCAAAGAGTAAATACTGCAAAGGTTTCATTTTAAGCTTGCCAATGAAGGTGATATAAAGACTCACAACAATGATTCATTAGAGTACTGGGTTTCCCTGCTACAGACTGCAAACCACAAGCCATCTGTAACAATCCTTCAGAGGATCCACAGGATTTTCCCCCTTCCCTGTCAGACAGCGCACACAGATACACTAATTTCTCATCCCCAAGTGCTGACTGATCAGTTCTTTGCTTGTGCCCGGGGTGGCAAATATCACAGACTAGAGGAGCCTACCGAGGCCCCACTCATGCTCCATCCCCAGGTGAGGCTCTTTGCTCTGGCCCAGGCTGGCCGACCTACTGCCCCCAGGGATTTGGGGCAACTGGGGCCATCAGAGCTGGAGGCGCCGTGGGTACATCACCCAGTTTGGGTGCCAGGGAATGCTGTTCTGGATTCCTTTGGCAAGGGGGAAAAGAAGGAGACGGGGAGCCTCAGGTATAAGGGGAGAGGCAGGGAGCTAGCCTTTCCCAATGGCCAGGTCACCAGCCATCCATGATTGTACTGGCTCTTAATACATTTAAAAAGCAGAGGAGTGGCATCTGGGACTGGGCGCAAGTCGGTCCCCCACTATGCCTCTGCCTCCCCTGCAGAGATGGTGCTGAGGGGAGCCAGCTTTTAAGCTGGCTTCCTCAGCAAGCTCCTGTCCCCTCTTGCTTATCGGATCATCGACTAGTCAGTCACTTACATCTCTATGCAGGGCTGGAAGTCAGCAGCTGCGTGGGAGCTGCCAACCATCAACAAGAGGAAAACATACAGGGGACCAGGGAATGAAGCAGAGAATATATTGGAGGAGGAGCATACCAGAGAGGACATCAGATGCCTGAGCAATATGGATGGGGAAGCATGTGGAGAATAGCAAGTTACAAGAACAGAACACTCAGGAGAAAATCTACTGAAGACAGGGCAATCAGTTGCTTTCCTAAAGGACAACTCATTTTTCAGATCCTTTGAGAGACACAACCCTTTACTCCTGTAATTTTCAACACAAGATACAATGCGCTGTTGCTGCTGAAAAGGGGAGATTGTGTGTGCAAAACTGCTGGATGGCACAGACTAAGTGCAATTAGTATGTATTTAAAAAAGAATTAATATAACAACTAGTGCTGGTGACAAGTGATCAGTCTAGTCTGTTGGAGGCCAAAGCCTTCATTTACCCACCAGACTGAAGCCAGTGCATTTACTATAGACATTGTATGGATAGAAATACCACAAATTTTCTTAAGCCATCAGGTTATAAAAGGGACAGATACTTGAAACTATATTCCTCTAATTATCCACAGCATACACATAGGAGGAACACTATCTTATTTCTGATCTAAGCATTCCTGAAGCACCAAGAAAAGATTCAAGGACCGTCTCAGCAAGTGCAGAATGACAACTGATGGGACACTGGCGTTCTTTAACCATTTAACTGATTAACCAGGATTTTACATCCTTACCCAAAACATAACTTACTAAAAGAAAAGAATGTTTCTAGCTTTCTTCATAGTGAAGTCCATATTGATTCTTCAGGTTTCAAATGCTATCCTTTTATGTTTAAAAACCAGACTGAATTGGCAGGGAGAGGCTGAAATTCATCTCAACAGGAAGTGATAACTACTTTTTTTCCCCGTTTCCATTGCTAACATTTAAACAAACAAATACCAACAATTTTCAGCATTCATTACTGAATTTCATAACAGAAACATCCATCTAATGTGTACGTTTAAGTGTCGATTGCCGCCCTGTTTTGATATTCACATAATAGCCTTTGCAAATGAATAGACGAAGTCAGCAAATGTGACTATTCATACAGCTGAATTTAATAATTCAAGCAATTGCTTGCTATAGGTCTTACAAATTAAGGTAAGAAATATTCACCATGTTGCCAATTAAAGTGTGTTAGTAATGATGCAGCTTACAAAATTTCAATGAAACGTAGCCTAGCAGTAGCAGTTTCAACTTGTTTTCTTAAATCAAACATGACATTTTGGCTAATATCTATGATACTGACTAGTATGTCCTAATGTAGTTGTCAGTGTGGTTATACAAAACCAGAACACTGACTCAAACTTATGACAAGATAAAATATTTTATTAACCACTATGGAGGTGGTATTCATTTATATATTGTACAAAAAGGGGCGTGGTTAATTTCTAGTTGGCGTCTATTAGTCACCATGACAGCTAACCATGTTTTGACTTTGCCCGATACCTACGTCCTGTACCATGACGCTTGATGTTTCTGCAGAACTTTCTAAGCATACCTGTGCCACTAGTTTGATTAGTTTTCTTTTCTCACAGCTCTCGTCTACAGGGTAGGACATTCCACAACGCACTGTGGCAACATTTGGCTTTTCATGCATATTCTCCTAGCACTTTTGCCTCTGTTCAGATGCTACCAGACATATGCTGTAGGGATTTAAAATGTGTTTAAGTAAACATGTAACCACTGAAATTTTCAGCAGTTAAACGTTTACATGTGGGGGAGGGGCAGCCTTTTACCATATGGAGAGATGGCTTTTAAGCTCAGGATCATTAGTTAACCATGTATATGGTTACACTTTCACATCCCTAATTTGCTGCAGCCCTTATTTCCCCAGAATGCTCCAGTTCGGGGATAGGCATCATGGGGATGCACATGTGTGGTTTACAAAGGGGGTGCACAGTGGGGGGTAAAAAAAACCCAAAATATTGTATAGGTACAGTTCAACCATACTTGATAGAAGAAGACCAGATGAGAGTTTCACATACTACAGTAAAACTCCATTAGTCCGGCATCCAATGCTCCGGCACTCCTGATGCTCCGGCACCATCAGGAACCTGGAAGTGCTCTGGCTGCTGGACAATTGGAGCTGCTCTGCGTCCCGCTTCCCCGATTCAGCCACTGCTGAAACTGCCCAGCAGCTGAATCGGGGAAGCCGGGGGCAGAGCAGCTGCAGGACCAACCCGGCAGCACCCCAGCTCTCTACCCCAGGGGTAGGCAAGAAAAGCCTGGTCTGCTGGGGGGGGCACTAGCTGCACCC